TGAAGAAGGTGGTATCCCTGTTTGACAGGTGGAGATGGAAGTGATAGGAGGAAAATAAAGATCCAATCAGTTCTGTTGTTCAAAACAGTACAATTGTCTTAGGAGGTTGGGGAACTAAGTGTGCTGGATATAGCCCAGGCTGTATTTCCAAGGTAGGTAAACTATTTCTCCATGAGGTAACAGAACTTATATCTGGCCCATTTGCAGAATCTCCACTCTGCTCCGTTAATTAAACAATACCAACCTCAGAATCCCACAGCACTAACATTAGGATCGCCATGCATCTGATTTTTGACTGGAACACCCAGTCAAAAAGGGATCTTGGTGGCAGCCATTATGAGTCCGACCAATGGCACAGCAGGGCTAAGGCAGGCTCACTGCCTTTCCTGGCTCTGTGCAGCTCCTGGAAGTGGCTGGCATGTCCCAGTGGCTTCTAGGGAAAAGGGGGAAATCAAGGAAGCTCCAAACACTGTCCTCACCCCCAATGATGGGTCTTGCAATTCCCACTGGCATGGAACTGCAACAACTGGGAGTTGCGGGGGTCGGCAGCATACAGAGTACCCTGACCCCTTTGCCTAGGGGCCGGACAAGCTGGACACTTCAGACAGGATCCCAGAGAAGGGGCAGGGTCTTGGGGAAGGGCTGGAGCAAGGATGTTCAGTTTTCTACCATTAGAAAATTATCAACCCTAACGGGAGGCCCTCATTTGAACTGGGCAAATTGACAGGATATTCTGTCTAACAAGAGGTCCCTGACTTGCTGAAGGGCTGGACCTATTTGTGTCCAGAGAAGTGATGTGTCCTTTCTGGTATGTTTAACATTAGTCACAAGGAAACTTTTGTTGTTTGTATAGGTCCTCTCTGTAATGTTTTATCCTTAAAATAATGTACTCTGCTGAGAGAGCCATATGATCACCTATAATTGCTGACAATACACGGGTCTTAGCCCTTGGAAAGTAAGCAGTGCACAAGTGCTGGACATTAGAAAGACTAACTTGCTGGAGATGTCATGGTGTATGGTAAGAGACTGTGCAGTTTTAAAACCCCAGGTCAAGAGGGAGAGGGATGCCTGTGTCAGCCCAAGAGAGGCGATGGCTGGGTGCTTGAAACTTTAGGTTAGTGCCCTTAAGGGACCACAAAGGGAGAATACAGGTGCATCTCCCCAGTGGTAGAGTTTATGACTCTGCCCAGTCTATCAAAGCTAGAAATGACATGCTGGGGACAGATCATAGGCAGGTGTGCCTCCAAGCTGATTGGAAGACAGGGAAATTAAGGGCCCAACCATCTGCCTCTTTTCTATTTCATTGCAAAAAGAATCTGGCACAGTCTGTAAAGAGCTGTGTTTGGTCAAGAATGCCCAGACTTAACAGCCAGGAAGAATCAAGAGTGGCTTTTCAGCACTAAAAATACTTTCCAATCTATTGGTAGGAGGAGGACACCTGCAAAATCTCTCCTTCCCAACACAACACAGTGATCTCATTCCCAGTACTGTTCTTTCCTACACACATCCTCACATACTGCAGGGGTTCACAGAGGGATGGGGGTAAGCAGTAAAAAGAGAATTAGCTGTAAAATAGTGCCATTTGAAATCATTGTATTCCATTGACAATTAATATTTCTAAATGACTAATATTGAGCTGTTGTGAGCACAGGATAAACTGCTTTAGGACTGTTACGGAGTCTGTGATTTGTGCAGTACAGTATGTAATATGTTATAGCAAGCTGTAAACTCAGACATTGGGAGGACAGTAGCTTTCCTATGTACTTGAAATAGCTTTATTAATGGAAAGCTCTGTAGTGTAATAGAACAAAATAAACTACTGTCAGTCTGTCTCCAAAAGTTCTGCAGATTGCCCAGTCTTTCACTCTCTGCAGAGATACAAGTTTGCTAAGAGGAAATTTGGAAAACTTCTTGTTTTAAGTAGCATTGTATGTGGAAATAACTTTCTCTGCCTAGGTCTGTGAAGACTGTTTTGTGTATACATAAATACATTAAACATGGTCTGCGAAAGAAAGCCTGATAAGCCCAAATACATTCAGCACTGCAGAATCCAAGTTTAGAACAGCACCGGAAATATCGGAGCATTTAGTATGATCTAATTACAATGAAATTCCTTTGGAAAAGATTGCCACAGACCAATGCCATCTCATTCCAATCAGTTGCCATGTGCGCATGCAAGACAGATTCCAATCAGTGTTCATGAAATGTAAAATTAATTAACAGGACACTTGTACAGTGCTGTTTTTAAGTAATAATTAGGTATGGAGATTATGAAATAGCCTGTCAGTGTTCGTTGCTGCAGTTACTTCCTACAAAAAAAACAAATTTCAGAGGCACTCTAGACACAGGTGAAGTTAGCAGTTGCCTAAGGAATGCTTGTGGTTGGAAGATGGGAGCAGTTCCCTCATTCTGGAAGGTGGGTCCCTGTCACAAATTTCTAAGCAAATAGGAGAGATGTGACACAGTGAAATTTTGCCTTAGATTGAGACAAACACACAAAACAAAGGCTAATCTGGTGGTATACTAATAATTAATTTTCAATTCAGCAAGTCACTGTGCAGTCATGCCTCTGAAACTGCTCTTCGCTTCTTTTTTTATAGGAAGCCCACACACCATCAGGAAATTCTTGTGTCTAACTCAACTGTGTTTAGAACATACAATTTATTGTAAGAAAATAAGTACCATATATGGTTATGTCCGAGCAATGCACAGAGAACGCTGGATGGATTTGTGTGTATTCAGAATTGTAGATGTACTTAAAAGGCTGGATGAAAAGGTTTTTAAATAAGTCACTGAAGCCTAAGTGATAGTTTCCCACAGTACTTCACTGACCTTCGCTTCTGAGAATAGCCAAGTGCAACATAAAAACTAGTAATCTGGTTAGGATCTGAAACTCAAGTTACTTGCATTGGGAATTTCCACATTTCTAGACACTGAACAGAACAGAGTAAAAAATGGCAACATTTTGTTTCTCAGAAGTCTGCAATCGCAAGACAAACTGCAACACATAGCATGCTGCTACAACAAAGCTTGAAAACTGGACTAAGTCTACTAGACAGAGTGAAACACAGCTGCACTTCTGCATGTATAAAACACCCGCTCCCTGAAACTGACACTACTACTACAAATGTGCTTCTGTTTACTGTGTACTGTACTCAGGGCTGGATTAACTCTTCTGGGGGCTTGCAGCTATTAGATTTGGCACTTACCTGGCACAGATCCTGGGGGGAACAGGTGGCTCCGTGCAGCCCTACAACTACAGGCACAGCCCCCTGCCACTCTTACTGGCTGCGATTCCTGTCTAATAGGAGCAGAAGGGATGAAGCCCACAGGTGAGTGCTGCTAGTGGGGATGTACTTGGCTCCACTCAGAAGGGGAAAGTGGCGAGGGAGATCACCTGCCATCCACTCAGCTGCATTTAAAATAGCCACCAGCTTTCCGCATTCCTCTCCTGCCCCCCACACTCAGCACTGTCAAGATTCTGGGCAACTTCTGAGCCTACTGCTGTTTAGGGGAAACATGTTTACAATAGCAAAAACAGCACATGGAGCAGTGCAAAGCATAGCAGCTATGCATCTTCATACCCGTCACATCAGCTCATCTACATCAGCCCATTCATTTACACCCACAACCACACCTGCTACTCAGATTCCCATGAGTCCCCATGAGTCCCTCTCCCCTCCAATGCTGCTCCATTACTTCTCCCTTCCCCTTCTGTTAAAGGTGTAGTGGTTCTGGGCTACGCTTATTGTCTTGCTATGTCAGAAACAAGCAAGCAGTGCCTGGGTCTTTTTGCTCAACAGCCCCCTCTGCTTACTCCAAGTTTTGACTTGCCCCAGTTAAGAGGAATTTGTCAAGCCTTGTACTATGTTTGATAGAAAACATTTTCATCTATGTTCCCAGAGAATTTCTTCCATAAGCCAGGATGTTAAGAAGATAAATGAACAATGTGTACTAATCTCTGCAATTCTCATACACAACATACATGCCACCCGTGATTCTGCATACATTTATGCACGTATGAACTCAGTGCAACTACTCTCACACATAGCTACTCAGGCACATAAATTGTCAGAGGATCAAGGGCCCAAAAATGTAAATATGGGTGGACAAACATTTACTGGTATGAATTCAGAATGGCTCCTTCACTCGTGAATAGCAAAACCATTAATTCTTATCATGCCAAAGGGATACCAATAAAACCTTTAACCAATCTACATCATCATCTATTTTGCATTAGACAACAATTACAGAAACCACTCCTCCCTTTTGCATAAGTGTTTTAGAAAATTAAAACCCACTTTACTGATATTGTTTTCCTCTCTTTCTGCCTTGGTTACAATGTATTATTTTTGAAGCACCAACAGTAATGCTAGGCCCTGTGAATCCATCTGTGTTTAAAACAAGAGTTCCTACTTCACAGACTTAAAGAGGGAGCAAAAATTATACAAAGCATAGTATCTATTTGAAAGATGAAAAAATTTGGCTTTCAGTTAGCATAAAACAATCATTTTTGGCTTTGACTCATCGCACTGATAGCACTGCTGCTGCTGTTTCAGGGATAAATATTACTCATCATTTTGGGGAGAAATTCTAGATTTGAAGAGAAACAAAAATTTTCGTTACAGATTTGTTAGTTTTTTGTTGGGAAGAGAAGAGTCAAATATCAAAATTTAGAATTCCAGTTTCTCATAAAATTGTATACTTGGAAAGAGCTGCATGGTATTTCACGTGAGCAGCAGAATTCAGTAAACACAGCAAGTTTATTACAGAAGAAGTGTCATTGTACGAGGCAAAAACGTGAAAGGATTTTGTTCGTGGGAGGTGAAAGCGCAAAGCCTGGATATACGTGGCCATTCTTCTGAATAACAAAAAACTCCACAGCTATCTAACTTTGAAAATCAGGCACATTTTCATATCTCACCTTTTATTATCAATTTATACTGAATAATAAACACGATGTTTTATTGCCATGCAACTGGTAGGAAACCATCCAATACCTTCAACCACTGCTCCGCCTGTTCTTTGCTCTGTACTGCTAGAACCAGGGCATCTGTTCCTTGATGAGTGATTTTCAGCTCATGCTTCTTCTTTTTACTGTCTTTGGGAATGTATGTGATACTGCAGTCATTCAAAAGAAGTTCCATCTGAGGTTGCTGGTCCTTGGAACTTTTATAACACTAAGTAAAAATGGAAGAATGTTACGTTAAATTTGCTGCACTTTTTGGAAAAGCACTCAACTGTGCTATTTTTGCTTTTTTCTTACTCATCCCCTTACCACATACAAAAGTTAATCAATGCTAACTTCACAGCTTTCTCAATCTTGCTCTTTTTTAAAGTGAAATGATGCCAGATTGATATTATCAAAGGCTATTCAATCATAGAACAGTACAGCATGGAAAAGTCCACTGCAGGCTTTGTTTACCCACCAATAAGCCTCAGTGCTGAACTAGGATGTGAAGGTTTGCTGGTTAACTTTACTAGCATGCTTACCAGGGTAAGCAGTTAACAGGCACCCACCTGGCTAGAGAAGCCCCCTGCCTGAGGCATGGTGGGCCCTGCCTGGGGACAGGAGTTGAGGTTCTCCTGGCAAGTAGCATGGCTGGGGCACTGGTGCTCATCCCATTCCCCATTAGGAGCAACTAGCGGTCCAGAGCAGGACAAGCACCTGTGCCCTGGCCATGCCCTTTATCATGGAGCATCCCAACCCTGGTCCCCCATAAGCACCAGGCAGGGCAAAGCAGGACAAGCACCCTCCCTGGTCACACTACACCACAGGAGTACCCCAACATACATGCAGACATGCATTTTACACATGGGTCTCACCCCTTAATTTAAAATCTTGCCTTATCCATTTCTTGTGCTAAGATTCAGGAATATGTAGTAATTGTTAACAGGATATTACAAACATTACAACCAAGGTTAAGAAAGTAACTTTTTTTTTCCAAGCCAATCTTTGTAACTCCCCACAATTTTCTAATTGTTTCCCTTTCAGGCTAAAATTTATCTGGCCTGGTCTCAGCTCAGAGGCAAATAATTTCTCTGAAGAAATTTGGTTTGTAAAAATATATATATATATGCTTAAGTTATATGAGCAAGAAAAGCCACTACTATCTTTTAGAAGTTTAAGCAGCATTTATGGTGCATATCTTTATATATATTTCTAGATTTTATTTTTCAGAGTACATATATAAAGTTTACTAAAAATACACATTTGCATAGCAAACCGTGCCAGATGAGTCTGTACAGAAAGTAATTATTAGCCCAAATATATATACTGAATATGTGGTACTGATCTAAAATATCACATTTTGGTCTCATTTAAATATTGCATTTATAATATAGGGAATTACTAATCCCTAAGCGCATATATGTTTGTATTACTTCCTGCATAACTCAGAAATTAAGTATTGTAGGTTTTTCTTCCAATACTAAACTAATCTTTTTAAACTGTTCATTCAAATCCTGTTATGATTTTTATTTTCTTAATCCCCATTATAGTGTTACTGAGGGAAAAAAAGCCAGAGGGAAAAAAATAATTTCTTAGACCACACAAGTAGTTAAAAGAGCATGTGGTTAAAGGAAAAACAGTACCACTACAGTTTAAAATAAATAAACTTCATTCTAGAAGAAATATAAGGTGCCTTTTTAATTTCTCTTTCACTCTCTATTTTGATTTTAAGCTTCTATCCTTCACTCATAGGAATGGTGTCTCTAGCCTCTGTCAGAGGCTGGGAATGGGTGACAAGGGAGAGATCACTGGATGATTATCTGTTCTATTCATTCCCTCCAGAGCACATGGCATTAGCCACTATCGGAAGACGAGATACTGGGCTAGATGGACCTTTGCTCTGACCCAGTATGGTCAGTCTTATTATGAAAGTCTGATTCTGAATTTGCATGTGTTGGCATAAATCTGACTAACACCACAGAAACCAATGGATTGCCACCAATATAAGTGAACCAAATCAGAGTCAAATTTCTGTTTGACACTTAACATATATACAATGCACAAATAATAACCTTTAAACATAAATTGAACTGCCCGTTTAATATCAACTTCCCACCATATTTACAGCAATCTCTTATCTGACCACCTATGTCTCAAAATCAATCTATTTCCCCATCAACCAAAATAGAAGATGAACTTGGCAGCATACTCAGAACATGGTCAAATGTGGGCTATGAAGAACCTAAGAGAGAAAATGAGTTTTAAATTGAGGATCTCCTCCCCCTTTTATAGACCATCCCCTTCCAGCTGCTACCAAGTTTTTTAAAGTTGAGATGCAGCCATCATAAGCTTATCTGCTATTACCACTTTGCTGGCACCACACAGTGGGGAGGGTAAAAAGTGCCCAAGTGATTTAGGAAGTATTTTGAAACACGCAGTATGGCTTTCTAATATAAAAATGAAACTCTTTCATAAGATCACTGTTTTTTTCACTGAACAGAAACAAGTCTTGAAGAAAGGAGTTTACTAAATCATGGACCTATAACTGGTGATCACTCTATGAAAGAAACATAACGGAGTTCTAAAGAACAAAACACAGAAAGATATTTAAATCACTTCCATCTTTCCTCTCTATGATACAGCTGTGAATTATGTGAATGTGGCATCTGTAATTACAGCAGAACAGATGGTGAAGGTTTAGTTTTAAGTATATACATTACGATAACATACGCTGCCAAGTGATTGCTCAATCTACCAAGGGGCTTGTTTCTCTAAGGGTCTGATCCAACAACTCTTATATAGGGAAATCTCTCAGAATCCATTGGGATTTTTGCCTCCATAAGGGCTGGGTTTACAAGGTTTCAGGGACGAAATATATTAGACAGAAATAGGCTTCAGGCTATGTTCTCTGCATCAGAGAATTTTCTAGGGCAGGGTGTAGGTTTCACTGTGACAGGTTCCATGTTCTAAGTGGCTTTAGAAAAAGCAATCAATCGATTGATAAGAGGCCCCTAATGTCAGATTCTTGTTCATGACTAGGCTCTCTGACACCAGTACAAAACTTGATCTCCGTTTACAATATGTTTACCGTAAGCAATTTTCCTTTAAAAATAATCACATCTTTAAATTACAAACAAAATCTAGCCAAATGAAAGAAAATAATAATTACCAGTAGTTTGTTTTCTTTGATAACACAAAGTAGTTTGGTCCACTGTCCAAATCGCTTCTTTCTCAAAAGGAAGGCACAGATTTTGGCATCCTTTACTAGGTCCATAGAAGCCTCCTCAGAAGGCCATTGATGTCTCATTTTTTTCCCTTTTCCATCCTCCTCCTCTTCATCATAAGATTCGTAAGAGCTGCTCATAGCATCGGAGTCATAATCTTTAAGGAAAGAATAAAAGTGCCCAGTTAAAACCATCAGCATTGAAACACACATATAAAACTGTAAGTTATTCCTTTTAGACAAACTATAAACAATATATTTTTCAGTCTTTAGTAGTATCAATACATGTTTATTGAGTACGAGAAGCTACAAAGGTGAGAAATGCATCATCATCAGATTTAACCACAGAACCATAATTAGGCCCATGGAATTTTAAAATTCAACTTAACTTGGAAACTAATACTTAACACTTATATACTGCTTATTTTGAAAATGCTACATGCAATTTCATTTTTCACCTTTTGTAGCATTGCTAAAGGAAGAGATTATAATCTTTTCCCATTACTTAAGGTGACAATGTCTGCACACACACACACACACACACACACACAAATATTAAGGACACAGTCTATAGAGAAATAAACATGAAGTTTGACAGAACTCACAAGGAATTAAGTACTTCTGTAAGTTAAAATATTTCACACCATATACACTAGAAAGACATCAATGGCTCTTTGATTTAAGTGCAATTCGTATCAATCTCTTTGTTGTTAACCAGAAGTCAGTTCTCGAATACTGAAAAACTTTGTTGTCCTTATCACAGAACTCTGTACCTTCTATTAAATGAGGACATTTCTGCCAGCTAGTATGCCTAGAAACTCCAGAAGGCACAATCCTTCCTGAAGCACCCTGTGGAATGGCTGAGCAATAATCCATTGCATGGATGTAGCAAAGGGCTACAAATGAATCCAAAATTAAGAAATGGTGGGGTTTTTAATCGTTTAAAAAATAAAAAAAGGAAAGAAAAAGGAAAGGTGGGAAAGATTAGGGATTATCTATTACTTAATTTAAAGTGGCAACCTGGAAAATGCTTTTATATGAAAGAATATTCACTTTCTCATAATCATATAAAATAATATGTAAGACCTACTCTCTTCTAATTACCTCCCTGAAAACCAGGGCAAAGAGCATAAGCAAAAACATACTTCTAGAAAGGTGATCCAGGAAGCTCAATGAAAGTTTATACTATTGAATTAGAAAATCCCTAGGCAGCCATTGATTAAACTCAGACAAAAGAACACTCGCATGCATGCGGGTCCGGTATTTAAGGCAGGGGAAGGCTTTGCCTTCCCAAACCACCAGGCATAGCCCCACCCACAGTCCACCTCCAGAACGCCTGCAGTAGGTTTTCTGGGGCAGAGTGTTGCTGCCCCCAGTGCCCACCCTCCCCGTGTTCTGGGGCTGGAGAGGCAGGACTGGGTCAGGCCATGGGGTGCACCCTCCTCCAGGGCTGGGAAGTCTGGGGCCATGCCATGCGACCTCTGACCTCCTCTGGGGCTGGGCCATGCTGTGCATCCTCCTTGCCCAGGGCTGGGGAAGGTGCGCTTAATGGAACGCCCTTCTTCCTCTCCTGGTGCTCCCAGGCTGGAGAGGCTAAGCTGGGCTGTGCCAGATCGTGCAGGGCACGCCCTCCTCTGGGGCTGGGACCATGCCACTAGCCCTCTGCCCTCCGCAGGGCTGGGGAAGCTGGGGTAAGTGCGCGCCCGCCTTCTCCCTCCTTTCCCTGTAGTTGGGAAGGAGAGCGCACATACGGTTGCCCCGCCTCCCCGTGGGGGTGGGGCTTCAGAAGAAGGGGCAGGGCTGGAGGTGGGGCTGGCACTTGCATCCCCCAGCTGTGCCTTCTCCAACCACCCTTGCTCATGTTACCTGCAGCGACAGAAGAGTTAAAGTGAATATGAAAATGTGGAGCTTGGTATTTAAATCAGCATTTTTAGGGAAGCCCTTCCCTCAGCGACATAGCTAAGTGGGAAGCTGCCACAACACTGGCCCATCCCTCTGGCAACACTAATCCTCCTTGAAAGGTAGCTCGTGACTCACTCCATTCTTTCCATATTCAGGACCAGCAATACTTTCAGGTGGGCATGAGTTGCCTCTTTCCCCACTTCCAATTTAACAGTGATCCAGGGTATAGTTAGGCCACTGATGTCCTGCTCTTGTCACAGCTTCTAGCAGTGGGATTACGGAGAGTCCAATCCCTGTCCAAAGCGATCTTATCTTTGCTTTAAAAGTGAATTGTGACTCTTCTCTCTTCTGTGCCACCTGATTCCCTCTGCATCTGGTCACCCTCTCAGAAGAGTGGCTAGCAGCAAAGTAGAAAAGGCTAAAAGAGCATTTAAATAAAGTGAGACGATGGAATCCTATTCCTGATAGTGCATATCAATTTAACTACTGGTGGGATTTCTACCTCCAAAATGAACTGACAAGGCTTTTTGTTAAAGATCGGTCCTGAACAAAAGAACATGCATTTCCAATATTGCCTTCATTAGGCCATGTTTAAGACTCTTCTGATGTAATACAGACACACCCTGAAAAAGCAGAATGATCTGTGAAAAGAACAACTACTAATTCTTATCAGATCACGGCCTAGCCAAATACCTTTCCCATCTGCATTTTTAGTATATCTGACACGGAGGAGGCAAAAGGCAATAAAATACAGTGAAAACAGATACTGTAATAGGCCATTTCCATTTTATGGGATGCTTTAACTTTCTCATATTCCATGAAAGAATTTTCCACCTAACTTAAATGCCATTGTTATCAGTCATCTCCATACTATATTATGAAGAATTGGATTCTTTTTACCTCAAGCGCCAACCAAATATCTTGTTTCCTTCACCACTTTTCAACAAGGTAATTTACTTAACCACTGCACTTTTTACAACATCCATATGCCTGCATAAAAATTATTAATATTATAATTATGGAGAAGCTGGAGAGAGGACTCCAAATGTAAGGTTAAGTTTTGTATTTCAACACACACACATACACACACACACACACGCCACACTGCATCCAACAATTTAAAAAGTCTTCTTTTAGAATGCATATACACATTATTAAAAATGTAACTATAGACCAAGTCAGGTTTTACAAGACATCTCAGTTCTTCCTTTGGGAGTTTAAGCATGGGATGGATAATTTATTCATTCATGAAACACTTCACGACCTAACTCCCTACTACCCCAACTGATGTTGCCATCATGGTAAAAACAAGGGCAATTATCAATATTGAGTAACCATATAAACTTAACATTCTTGTTCCTCACTACACCTCTTCTCCACTTCGTATTCACTTTCTCCAGACCATTCATGATTTTACAGGCCTCTACATAAAACTACAGACTTAAGCTTTCCCTTAAAAAAAAAGTGTCTAGTCCTTGCTGTTGCAAAGAGAACCTCCCAAACGTGACCTGTATGGAAAGATGCAGTTCCACTGCTGCAACTCAGAAACCTGATATCAACAAAAGGGAAACCGAGGAGCATGCTGTCAGTTCAACTGCTTCGGAAGGCAATGAGCTATAGCAGTGAAAGCGGTGATCTCAGTGGGATGTTAAAGTTAAAGGAAGGATCAATAGGGAGACTTTATTCCATCCCTTCTACAGCAGGCAGGATACTGTGGGATTAAGGGATGTAAAAGAGGAGTTGAATAGTTGACTCCCTGATAAGCCTAGGCCTATTGGGTAGTTAAGTGTTCCCCCGCCTTGCTGCCTCTATATCAGAGGCAGCAAAGGGGTAAGGGGGGGAGGAGAGTAGGAGCTGGAGAGAGCCAACTTAAAAGTCTCCGCAGGGCAAGAGGGGGTGTGACCGGCCTGCCAGGACCTGCACTGCCCCTGGGGGGACCTCACCCACTCTCCCTGCAGAGGGAAGGGGCAGGGCAGCAAGGAGCAATGGCACTCTCGGCACTCGGCCCGCCACGGTCGAGTTTAAGTGCGGCAAGACGCAGCAAAGAGGGGCAGAACAACACCGGTGCACGCTGGTTGGCTGCTGCGTCACCAGCCAGCCCGGAAAGGCCCTCATGATGGGGGCCTGAACTCACGACCCGGCGTCCAAGGGCGTGAGGATGCCCAGGGGTTGGGGCGCTGCAATGCCCTGACCTCACCTAGGCCATTTGAAAAGCAGCTGGGACAGAGGCAGCAGGGCAGCTCAGGGTGAAGGAGCCGCTGACCGGCCTCCAAGCGGAAGACCATTCCCCTATGCTGGAGGAGCATGAAGGGGAGCACCCGTATGCAGCAGATTCCAGCCAAGCCTGAGGAAGACTGCGGACGGGTAAGCCCCCGGGACCCACCGGCCCTGGAGCCTCTGTCATGGCCTTCGCCTCCCGCCCTGGCGCTTGGCTGACTTCTGCGCAGCTCAACTGGGCTGCTGCGTGGGAGCAAGCAGGCAACCATTTGGGCTCCGCGAGTGAGAGGCAGGAGGGGGAGGAGAAGCGAAAGAAAGTGAGGCAGGATGGGGAGGATATTTTGGAAAAAAAAAAAAAAAAGATTAGATAATACAAAAAAAGACAGGAAAAATACTCCAATTTTTTTCGTACAATGTAAGCTGACACACACACACATACACACACACACACACACTCTTTACAAATAAATGTTCTTGAAAAAATTTAGCAGTAATTGAATTGCACTCCCCGCTGTCAACTTTTTCTGGCCAAGCAAACGTTTTCATAGGTAGATGTTCCTCGGGATATGAAAAATTATTTTAGGGGTTCCTCCATGGGAAAAAGGTTGGGAATCACTGCTCTGTGCAGTAGAGGGTAATGGTATATATTTGAGGCATTACATTGCAATAGATACTGCATGTCATGTATAGGCAGAATTCAATTTTATAAACAAACATAATATCAATGTTTATTTTAAAGCAGTTTTTCTAAGTTAATCAATTTTAAATTGTCATGATTGTGGGAAATTATGGGGGGAGAGGTCAGACCACTGGGGAATCAGACAGTAATTTAACCACAACAGACCTGGGGATTCAAAACAATTAAAGCTTTATAACTGTCAAAATAACTAATAGAAATAGAAACTATCAACATAACATGTCAAAATATACAAATTAAACACCCTTAAAACAAACTCCAGTGAATTCTCAAGTAGCATTATTTTATTCCTTTCCCTAGGTGTGGACTTTTATAATTATCAATGGAAATATTTTGGGGGATATATGTTTGAACAGTGAAATCAACAATCACTGACATTTACCAGCAAAAATCTCAAGCGTAGTTTTACACTCTCTCTCTCGCTCTCTCTCTCTCACACCCACCCACCCACAGTTAGGGGATGTAAAAGAGTAGTCAAACAGTGCTGGTGGGATTTCAAAGGCAGAAGCACAGCAGTTGGAACCTGGCACAAGCGGGGCCTGCTTCAGTCCCTGCTCACGCTGGGTTCCACGCTGCACCTCTGCCTTTGAAATGTAGCAAGAAATGTGGGCGGCTCTTAGTACATTTCAAAGGCAGAGGTGCAGCAGCGATATCAAGTGCCTCCCTCCACTCTTATCGATTAATCAAATAATGGCCTAATTAGCTGATCTATTGAAATGTAACATCTTTATACATAGACTCTCTCTCTCTCTGGCACAGCCTGATAGTTATTCTAGTTTCTAGTGCATCAATTACATGAACAAAAATAAGGAAACTGTTATTATGGGAAGAATGCCCTAATGAGTTTTCAAATTATTCCTAATCGTGTTTTCAAAGGGTTAACCTGAAGCTTAAAGTCTGGATCAGTATTTTTCAATAAATGGAGATGGAAAAGAGTCATCATCATCTGGGGCACATTTTGAACTTTATTTCTATGTATTTTTCTCCTTTTTATAGGAAGATGTGAGCCTGTTCACTGTTAACTATGAATATGTTTTAATACACTACCGTAGCATTACAGAGTTACGAACAGCAGAGTTACAAACTGACCAGTCAGCCACCCAACTTATTTAGAACCAGATGTGGACAATCAGGCAGTGGCAGAGGAGGGAAAAAATCCCAAATACAGTGTAGTAAAATACAGCATACTATTAAAAAAGAAGAAAGGTATAAAACAGATCTGACAAGGTAAATAAATTCTCTCTGGGCTTGTTTTGTTTAAAATAAGATGGTTAAAAGCAGCATAAGTAAAGTTTCAAAGCTGTATTAAATCAGCTTTTATGAAAGAACAAACCTCATATTTTGTTCAGTGTTACGAAGATTTCAGAACAACTTTCCATCCCCAATGAGTTTGTACCTCTGAGGTTCAACTATATGAAGAGATAGATCATTATGTCTGCCCAAACATTCATGTGACTCATTAAAGCTACAGCTCTCTCTTTTTTCCCCTCCACTTCCTTAGGAAGCTGTTTTTGTTGTCTCAGCCCTTGGACACGGCAGTGTCCAACACGGTAGCCACTAGCCACTTGTGAATATTTAGCCACTGATGCTTCAGAACTGATTGGACACTATGGCCTTAAAATCTGTGTCTTCTCAATCACGTATACCTCAGAAATAGAACCATATCCTAGTGGTAGTTGTTACAAGTAAAATGAGTTTGGTGCTTCTATTTTAGTCACTTATTTTAGTCACTTATATTATTCTCACAGTCATAAGACAAGCTGGCACAAATGAACTCAGGTGGAATTTTGATAGACTAGACAGATAACAAGTACTGAAGAAGGCTTATAGTGAATGTAGCCACTAACTTTATAATAGATAAACAGAATTGCTGAGCTGACAGTACTTATATTCTTCTATAGGTGTTAAAAGAGCTGATGACAAATACAAAAGGTAATGGAATTCAGCAGAGCGGAAGCAATATAGGTTGTGGGTTGTACTTGTTAAGCATAACTTTTGTAGAAGTTATAGCTTTGATTTATGAAAGAGAGGGACAGTCTATCTCCTCTAAATGTTTCAGTGGTCTGGATAGTAATGAAGGACAATAAAAATAAGTCTGAAATTTGGTTAGCATGTTTTGGTTTTTAGCTCCACTGAAACAACTATTTTAAAATGCAGCTAATATTATCTTCTTGAGCTGGGTGCTTGCATGTAACAGCTAAACATGAAATGGCAGTTCACTGAGTCAGAGGGTGTGAGCAGGACCACCCTGTGCTATTTCCAAGGGAGAAGCAGGGAGTGGAAATCCCTGAACACTGCTGAAACTGAGTGTATCTACATTCATTTTACATGATTTGCGACTCTTTATTTATTTATTTATTGCTTGAATTGCCTGGGTTAAGTTATTCCTATTAACAAATGCCAAATTTTCTTTGTTTTTTTTTTTAATGTTTAGAGCTAATGCATGCATATGATTCTCCAAGCAAAACAAAGGCCTGTCTATAATCAACAGCGTACAAATGGCACACAGATCATTTGTTGGTGTTATAATGGTTCTCTTGATTCACTGAGTAGAACAGGTTTTATTTCTGCATTCATTTAGATTTAAACAACAATAAAAATGGTCTAACAAATTTAGGGTCATGAATGATGATGATCCAGCAGAAAAATGTTTATACACTAATGATGAATTACCTCTGCCAGTCAACAAATAAGAGCAGCAGAATAACAATTTTTGCCTCCTCCAACTAGAGACATAAAGGGTTAACCGATTAACGTTAACCGATTAACCCCTACGCACTGCCTTAGCAGCATGCTTACCAGGATAACTGGTTAACTGGGCTCTGGCCCGGATGGCTGCTGCAGCCTGCCACATCATCTACCTGAGCGTGCAGTGGGCTCTGCCTGGCTCACCACGCCTACTTGTAGGCAGAGGGTGCTCTAGCCTGGCCAGGCAGGATCAGCATGCTCCCCCCGCCCCCCCTACAGCGGGCCATACCTGGCTGGAGAGTCCCCATCCAACAGCTAGAGTTGCCAAATGGTTAAAACAAAAATACCGAACCCCCTCCCCCCCTCCC